TCAGTATTCAGCATGTGAGGAAACTACCAGGGCTGGGGAAAGAAGCATCAAAAAGAATAAGAGGACTGCACAAACTAGGAATAGAAGGGAACTTCCTCAATCCAAACAAGGGCATCAATGATAAACCCACAATTGGCATCAAACTCAGTGGTGAAAGATTGGATGCTTTTCCACTAAGAGCAGGAACAAAACAAGGATGTCTGCCCTCGCCACTCCTATTCCACATTGAATTGGAAGCTCTACTTAGGGCAATTTGGCAATAAAATAAATATGAGGCATGCAGATTGGAAAGAAAGAAGTAAAATTATCTCTATTTGCAGATGACAAGATCTTATATGTAGACAATCCTAAGGAATCTACTAAAAAACTACCAGAACATATAAGTTCAGCAAGGTTTCAGAATACAAGATGAATATACACAATAAACTGTATTTTTATACACTTGCAAGGAACAACCTGAAAAATAAAATTAAGAAAAAGTTTCTATTTGCAATTGCATAAAAAAGAATAAAATACGTAGGAATAAATTAAACAAAAGTGCAAACCTTATACTCTGAAATCTGCAACACATTGTTGAAGGAAATGAAAGAAGATCTAAATAAATGTAAAAATATCCAATGTTCATGAATTGAAAAACTTAACATTGTTAAGATGGAAGTACTCTTCACATTCATCTACAGATTCAGTATAATCTCTATCAGAATCCCAGGTGACAGGGATTCTTACCTCACATCATATACAAAAATTAACTCAAAATGGATCAATGACTTAACTGTAAGAGCTAAAACTACAGAATTCTTAGAAGACAACATAAGGGCAAATCTTTATGACCTTGGATTTGGCAATGGATTCTTAGAAATGACACCAAAAGCACAAGCAAACAAACAAAACAGTAAATAAATTGGACTTCGTCAAAACTATTGGGTTGGCCAAAAAGTTACTTCCGTTTTTAAGTAAAAATAAAAGACATTTTTCATTTTCACCGAGAACTTTATTGAACAACGTTTTGTTCCACTACCTTCTGCCATTTTCCAGGCAACTTCATAATTCATCTTCCCAAAACTTTTTATCTTTTTAAGCAAAGGACTGTTCCAGGTGCCTTTTACAGTCTTCCAGGGAATTAAAATTTTTTCTATTAAGAGAATTTTGTAAAGACAGAAATAAATGGAAACCCAAAGGTGCAATGTCTGGTGAATACGGCAGATGAATCAGAACTTCCCTGCCAAGCTGTAACAGTTTTTGCCTGGTCATCAGAGAAACATGCGGTCTTGTGTTATCCTGATGGAAGATTATGCGTTTTCTGTTGACTAATTCCGGATGCTTTTCATCGAGTGCGGCTTTCAGTTGGTCTAACTGGGAGCAGTGCTTGTTGGAATTAATCGTTTGGTTTTCTGGAAGGAGCTCATAATAGAGGACTCCCTTCCATCCCACCACATACACAGCATCACCTTCTTTGGATAAAGACCGACCTTTGGTGTACTTGGTGGTGGTTCATTTTGCTTGCCCCACGATCTCTTCCATTCCACACGATTGTACAGTATCCACTTTTCATCACCCATCACAATTTGTTTTAAAAATGGAACGTTTTTATTACCTTTAAGCAGAGAATCACATGTGGAAATACGGTCAAGAAGGTTTTTTTCACTTGACTTATGTGGAACCAAAACATCAAAGTGATGAACATAACCAAGCTGGTGCACATGATTTTCAGCGCTTGACTTGGACATATTGAGTATGTCGGCTACCTCCCACTTGGCGTAATGTTTGCGTGTGTGTGTGTGTGTGTGTGTGTGTGTGTGTGTGTGTGTGTGTGTGATACGCAGGCCTCTCACTGTTGTGGCCTCTCCCGTTGCGGAGCACAGGCTGCGGACACGCAGGCTCAGCGGCCATGGCTCACGGGCCCAGCCGCTCCGCGGCATGTGGGATCCTCCCGGAGGGGGGCACGAACCCGTGCCCCCTGCACCGGCAGGCGGACTCTCAACCACTGCACCACCAGGGAAGCCCGCACGCGGTTTTGTTTTAAACGGTGTGAGTACAGTTTCCCTGTGGAAATTGACTGCTTGAAGGTCCGCCCTGTCTTGAATTCTTTTGGTTACCTCCCCGAGGATCTTTCTTGGGGGCAGGTGTCATTTACAGCCCTGCAGGCTTTGTGAATATTAAGTGCCCATAAGCAGCGGGGTTAAAGTTGTTGTTATGGGAAACCGCCACAAGGCAGCAGCATTTCCTCCTGCCCAACTCTGGTTACTAAGGTACGGGGGCGTTAGGGCTAGTCCTGTTCCTGGGTTGTGAATTAGAGTGGAATGTGCCAGAAGAAACACCCAAGAACTTGTGTTCCTTTTCTCATTCCCCCTTACCCTCCCACCCCCTCCCCAGACAAATCCCAACCTCTGTCAAACCGCTATGCTGAGGGTGCTGTCGTATATAGGTGGGGCGCCTCTAAAGAAAGAGGCTGCACGTGGGAACCCCACCACCAGGAGACGTGCAGACCGGGTGACATTTCAAAGTTCTTCCAGCCCAGAGGTCCATCATTCTTTGGGTGCACTAGGCTTGGTTGAGGTGTAGGAGGGCCCACCAGAATCCAGAGACTGTGGTCCATCCAGAGGGGACCTGTCACTACAAGTCCAACGGGGGCTGCTTTGCTACCACATCCTTCCCAGCTCCCTCAGCCCCAGGACAGTCCAGCCTTTTGACCCAAGTCTGTTCAAGCTTTAGGGATGTGACACCAGCCCCAGTCACCGAGCTCTGATTGGAATAGAATAGGCATTTCTTTCTTTTTTTTTAAATAATTTTTATTTTCTGTTGACATATAGTTTATTTACAATTGTCATGTTGTTGTAGGTCTATGGCAATGTGATTCAGTTGTATTTATTCATGTATCTGTTATTTTTCGGATTCTCTTTTTACGTAGGTTATTACTGAGTGTTGAGTAGAGCTCCCTCTGGTGTACAGTAGGTCATCTTTGCTTATCTGTTTTGTATGTATTAGTGTGTATATTAATCCTAACCTCCTTATTTAATCCTCTCACTGCGCTTTTTCCGTTTGGTAACCCTAAGTTTTTCTCCTTGTGTGATTCTGCTTCTGTTTTATAAATTAGTTCATTTGCATCAATTTTTCACTTCTACCTATAAGTGATATCATATGATATTTTTCTTTTTCTGATTTTACTTTGTATGGTCATCTCTATGTTTGTCTATGTTCCTACCAATGGCATTATTTCATTCTTTTTATGGCTGAGCAATAGGATTAAATTCTATGGTTCGCCATGTTAATATGTCTTAGTATATATAGGGTGGTCTAACTCACGTGTGGCTATATTATTGGTATGAAGCGGCACTCATTTTCTGGGAAAGGGGATATTTCGGTTTTGTCTTAGACAATGTTCATGTTCTGTGGTCAACATTATGATGGAGTTGTGTAGTTTTGTCTTTATCCATCACAATGAGGCTGATGTTGTTGTTTTGTGAAACTGTTCACACTCGACAGGAAAACATGGAGACCTAACTTTGAGTGTCAGGGCAGCCCCTGGATGCCCCTGCCTGCTTTCCTCTTTCTCACATAGCAGTAATCATGAAACATCCACTCTTGGCTGGAGGATCTAAGTGATTTTGACACATAGAGACAGGAGCCTCCACTTCCAACCTAGATGCAGAGCTTCAGATAAGTGACTACATTCCACATCTTTTTTTAAAAAATAAATTTATTTATTTATATTTTATTTTTGGCTGCGTTGGGTCTTCGTTGCCATGCACGGGCTTCTCATTGCAGTGGTTTCTCTTGTTGCGGAGCACGGGCTCTAGGCGCACGGGCTTCAGTAGTTGTGGCTCGCAGGCCCTAAATCGCAGGCTCAGTAGTTGTGGTGCACGGGCTCAGTTGCTCCGAGGCATGTGGGACCTTCCTGGACCAGGGCTCGAACCCGTGTCCCCTGCATTGGAAGGCGGATTCTCAACCACTGCGCCACCAGGGAAGCCCCACATCTACCTTAATCTTCTCATTTCCATGGAAACCCTGGACTACTTTGCAGTACAGGCCACATTTTGACTTTTTCTTTAGACAGCTGTGCTCTGATGCGAACCCATCAAAACACTGCTTCATTTAAATTTCCCCTGAACCCAGATCCTCACACAACTTTCTCCTGTGCTTGTTGATAGGCCCGTGGGCTCCACTTGTTTGCTATCTCCCTCACTGTAATGATCAAATAAACTTGACTTCTTCGAATTACACGTTTATCCCTGGGGATGTGAGGTTGATTGGGCTAGAAGAAAACTATACATGGTGTACTAGATATAAATGGTATGGAAAAAAAATAAAAGCGGGGGAAAGGATAAGAGGTGCTGGGGAAGGGGCTGTTGCGATTTAAATAGGATGCTTACGAAACTCCTCGGTGATAAAGTGACATCTGAGCAAAGATCTGAAAGAAGTGGGGGATTTTTTGAACGGTTGAGTATCTAGGAAAAGAGCAGTAGAGGAAGGGGAAACAGTGCAAAAGCCCCGAGGAGGAGCTTGCACAGCGTGTTTCAACCACACTTAGTCAGTGACCCTACGTTGACAACCTCTTTAATTCCGAAACCTACCCCCACTCCATCGTTACTCCCTTATCCTGCTTTTTCATTTTTCCACAGAACGTTTCAATTGTTCCACAGAACAATTCCGTGTTCATTATGTTTGTTTTCTGCTCTGCGCGAGGGAGGGCATCTTCGCCAGTCTGGGTCGCCGATGCAGCTCGAGCTTCTAGCAGTGTTGGGCACGCTGCAGGAGCTCGACAGGCCGTACTGTCCGGAGGCCCCGGGCCGGGGAGAGAGAGCGGTCAAGGTAAGGAGGAAGAAACGGGTCTCCTGGGGCCTCGGTGGGGGGAAGCCCCTGCTGGGGACCCGCAGGTAAGGAGCCACACCTCCCAGCGCCCCGGTCCCCCGGCCGGAAGCGCATCCCCGCGCGTGCGCCGGGTGCGGCCCGGGTCAAGGCGCCCGCCCGATTGGCTGCGGCCGGCGCCTAGAAGCGGCGTTGCGCATGCGCGCTCCTTCCGCGCGGTTTTGTGGCATGGGTTTTGATCTTCAGCTTCCGCTGTCTCCGCGGCAGCCCCATCTTCCCGTCTAGGGTGCTCGTTCCCGTTGCTCGGAATGTTCCCGGAACTCAATAACCTTCTCAACACCACGCCTGACCAGGCGGAGCAGGTAAGAGATTGCACGGTCGGGAAGGGGGCGCGTCCTGGGAGCGTGGCGGAAGACCGTACGGGAAGCGCACGCGGACCCGTGAGAAATAACGCGACGTCCGGGGACCCCGGGGCGCCTGGGAGTTGTAGTCCAAAGAGGGCCCGCCCGGGGCTGGCCTGGACATTTGGGCTTGTGGGAGGTGGGCATCTGGCGCCTTCTCAAAGGTCGTGCGTGCCCTTGAAAGTCCATAGGAAGCATGTCCAACGTTTGGATTGGCTTAAGTTCGCAGACGTGTACTGGGCGAGCCCTTTGCGTGTTCAGTGTGGTGGGAGTTACGGCGCCCCAAAAGAGGCTGCCTGAGAGGAGAGGAGAGGAGAGTTCGACTCTCCACCCATCACGTGGGACCAGCTTCTTAACCACCCTGAACCTCCCTCTGGCTCGGGAGCGCTCGGCAGGTCGCAGTGAATGCTGCTGCTCCTCTTTCTCCTCGTGTTCTCGAATAGTGCTTTTTGAAGCTGCCCTCAGCCAACGTTGGATTGTAGGAGTCCACCTTTGGCACCACAGGCTCGCTACTCTTGTTTTCTTCTCCCTCCTTCTCACACTCTAGGGCATTTCGAAAATTTCCACGCTTTCGCCCAAGGGTTACCTCCCCTAGGAATATACCTGACTTATTTCATAGCTGTTGTCTTTCTGATGAAATGGTAAGCTCTTCCAGAAGGACAAGGCACCAAGTGTGTAAAGCCTTTTTATGACTCCCTAATGCCTGGCAAATAGTATTCAGTGGATACTTGTGCATCTTAATTGCCCAGCAGTTCTTCTCTGCCCAAGCCTCCAGATGGCGCTGGTTACCTTGCCAGTTACTACTAGCACCTCCAAAGTCCAAGCCCAGGGCCGCAGGGAATGGAGGATAGAAGTGGGCGCCAGGAAATGACAGACGGCGCTAGGGTTAACCCTCAAGTTCTGCTAGTGTGATCTTTCATAGTTTATAAGTGAAAAAAATCACAACAGCACAGAGACGACCTTCCCTGTCACTGAGAAGGAACTAGGGGTGGCTGGAGCAGGGCAGCCAGGCCCTGCAGAGACCATTGTTAGAGGTCTTTCCAGGGCTCTCCACGATCAGAGCTCTGCCTGAAGCAGTTTCCAGGGCCTTTGGGAGGAGGACTTTGATACTGGAAGCCTCTGTCAACAACTACTTCTTCACTCTCCCTTACTTAGGGGACAGAATTGGAAGCAGGATTAGAAATAGGGAGGAAGCTGGATCAGATGACTTTTTAGAAGACCCCTTAAAATCTTGGCAGTCAGTGATTTTTGTTGGATTCCATGATAAAAGCTTCCTTTGTTCAGGATTTAATTCTCTCCAAGACTGTTGAGGAAGAGAAGGGTTTCTGTTCTTTATTGCCTTGGGAATTATGAGGTTGAGATATGCTTGCCCATAATGAGTGACTTAATACCAATCATTTTAATTATTGGTTTTTCCATAATTTTGACTTATTTTCTTCTTTTTGTGGTTAAATACACACACACACACACACACACACACACACACACACACACACACACACGCAGAGTCTCCAGGTGTAGAAATTTAGGGGTGGATACAACCGACTAGATTTTGACACTCAGCTGACCTCTTTCCTGGGAGTCTAATTCATCTTTTTGTGTTCTTCTTAACTTTTAGGGGAAACTGACTCTACTCTGTGATGCCAAGACAGATGGCAGTTTCCTTGTGCACCACTTTCTCTCCTTCTATCTCAAAGGTATGGACTGTAGAAAAAGAAAACCCAAGGCAAAAAAAAAAAAAAGGCTGATTCAGGAAGCAATAGGAATCGTATTAACTAGCCAGGCCTTTGGTGTTCAGGCAGCCAGATGTCTGTTTATCAGGTAACTGATTACTGGACCATCTGGTTCCATCTCCTACTCTGCCAGAGAGTGGCATGTGCTCCCTGTATCCAGTCCCGCCTTCCACTTCTCCACGTCCTGCATAGGCACTGCCTCCCTGAGGTCCTTGTGTGGTCTTCTCATTTAGTTGCTCCTTGGTCCTTGTCTATTTTGAAGTCTCTAGGCACTTGACCCATTAACACTTTGCCCTGGCAGTAGATGCTTCCTAAAGAACACAGGGAAGAAAACAGCATGGCCACTGCAATTCACACACAGAAATTGATTAGAAGAAGAAAACAGCCAAATGAAAAAAAGACTTATTGATTCTCCTTGAGTCCCCCTGAGCCAGGCCAGGAAACACGGTAGACCTTTGGCACTCTTAACTGTAATAATTTACAGCTTTGAAAGTTATCTTCCTTTCCAGATGATGTTATTGTCAGCTTATAAAGACCAAGAGAATCTACAGATAAATTATTAGAATTAATTATGTTCATAAGGTAGCTAGAGCTTCTTTGTGCTCCCCTTGTCTCCTCTTGGGTATAAGACTAGTTTAAAAAATCCATTGTATTTCTGTACACCAACAAGCAATTAGAAAAATATAATTTTTTAAAAACCACTATTTATTTTCAGTGGAACAAATTAAGATTCCTAGTAATACCTCTCACAGAGGAAGTACATCTCAGAATCAATGAAATAAGGTATAATTATTAAATACGAAAAAAAGTACATCTTAGAATCAAATTGGGTATGTCAGGTTGCAAGGCCTCGGTTCTCTAGATCTGCCTCACTGCTTTTGTTTCCAGAGGTATGACGTATACGAGACTGATTGTAAGTAGAGACTTTATTAAAAATCAGTTTATTTTATTTTATTTTCCAGCTAATTGTAAAGTCTGCTTTGTGGCACTCATCCAGTCCTTCAGTCACTACAATATCGTGGGACAGAAGCTGGTAAATATTTTAGAACTCCATGATGGGATCCCTGAGTCAGTGTGTGTGCCAGGCATGTGTGAGTGTGCTGGGCTTCCCTGTTTGGGTTGTGGAGGCTGGGCTTCCCTGTTTGGGTTGTGGAGAATTTAGCAAGGGAGGGACTAAGGAAATCATGGAATCCTGAACCCCTTCTCTGAAGGGCTAAGGCAGCATCTCTACGTGTTTTGTTAATTTATAAAGTTTGTAGAACCAGATCTGGGTGTGTTTTTTTAAAATATTTATTTATTTATTTGGTTGCACTGGGTCTTAGTTTCGGCAGGCGGGCTCTTTAGTTGCGGCATGTGAACTCTTAGTTGTGGCAAGCATGTGGGATCTAGTTCCCTGACCAGGGATCGAACCCCGGGCCCCCTGCATTGGGAGCACGGAGTTTTATCCACTGCCCCACGAGGCAAGTCCCAGATCTGTTGTTAATTAATCAAACCCTTCTTTGTTGAGTCTGGACCAGTTAAGGTTTTCTCCTTCTCGGTGTTAGCTTTAATCTTGTTCCTAGTGAGTGAGAGAGATCACAGCTTGGTCTGCTGCCAAGTTGAGTGCCTCCCACTGTGTCTCCCTAAGTCTAGGGCTTAGGACCCAAATGTGGGGAGAGGCAGGCGCTTTTATCATGTGCCCCTTACCTCATCTTGGTTTGCCCCTCATCTCATTAGATGCAGCCAAGCAAGAATAAGATGGCCCAGAGGCTGATGAACCTCCTGGCCTGGCTTGGCCCATTACTTGTGACCTGTGACCTGGTGAATTTACTGGGTTGTTATTGTAGTGTGTTATTTTGTTTTTTTGTTTTTTTAAAGTCCTGCTAGGATTTTTTTTTTAATTTAATTTATTTTTTGGCTGCGTTGGGTTTTTGTTGCTGTGCGCGGCTTTCTCTAGTTGCGGTGAGCAAGTGCTACTCTTCGTTGCAGTGCGCGGGCTTCTCATTGCGGTGGCTTCTTTTTGTTGCAGAGCATGGGCTCTAGGTGCACGGGTTTCAGTAGTTGTGGCACGCAGGCTCAGTAGTTGTGGTGCACGGGCTTAGTTGCTCTGCGGCACGTGGGATCTTCCCAGACCAGGGCTCGAACCTGTGTCCCCTGCATTGGCAGGCAGATTCTTAACCACTGCACCACCAGGAAAGTCCCTTGTAGTGTGTTTTTGCTGTTTGTTTTGATTAGGTCAGCCTCAGAGAGGGAGAGAACCAGGCCACCCATCAGCAGTGATCTTTGAAGTGCCCGTCATACTATTGGGCCACATCACTGCCTCTTCTCTGATGGGGAGAAAACAATGAGAGAGTGAGAGAAGGGTAAGCTCTTTCTCATCCTTTGCAGGGAAGGGAGAAGTTCCTGTGTCAGAGGTCAGATCATGAGCTCAGGGAGCACTGTCATGTCACGAACATGTATTGCATTCCAGGTCTGTGAGGCATGTCTGTGGCCCTAACATCAGTTTTTATAGATGAGAAAGTTGTGTATTCTCATATCCACTTTGGCTGCTTTTTCTGTTACCTTGGAATCATCAACACGGTAGGAATGACATGCACAGCACTGGGTGTGCAAAGTACTAGAGGGTGAGCTTCGATCCTCTTGGTGTATTATTGTTCTTACATCAGGCGAATGGTAATGAGTGAGAGCAAAGGTGATGATCAGGAATCCTTCTCTCTGCCAGGGTGGCTACTGTTGCTAATGGTGTTACATATAGTGACCTCTGGTGTATGAACGAGTGATTGAGGCCTGGTCTAGGGGCATGAGGAGTCTGAGGAGCTCCATGTTACCTGTTTCTGCACAGACAGAACGGGGGGTTGCACATTTAGATGGTGTCACCATCTCTGGGTGTTTGTTGAAATGCACATTCTTGGGCCCTGCCCCCAAGGCTTCTGGTTCTGGAGATCTGGAGTGGGGCTCAGGGGTCTGCATTTTAATCAGGTATCTCAAGAGATTCTTAATTGCGTGTTTCATGAAGACCTATATTTAAGAAGTGCTGGTCTAGAGCAGGGGTTGACCAACCACAGCCTGCACCCCCTGTTTTTTTGTTTTTTTTTGGTTTTTTTTTTTTGTGGTACGTGGGCCTCTCACTGTTTTGGCCTCTCCTGTTGCGGAGCACAGGCCCCGGACACGCAGGCTCAGCGGCCATGGCTCACGGGCCCAGCCGCTCCGCGGCATGTGGGATCCTCCCAGACCGGGGCACGAACCCGTGTCCCCTGCATCGGCAGGCGGACTCTCAACCACCGCGCCACCAGGGAAGCCCCCCTGTTTTTTGTAGATAAAGTTTTATCAGAACACAGCCAGCCCCATTTGTTCGTAAATGGTCTATGGCTGCTCTTGCTCTACGGTAGCAGAGTTGAGTAGTTGCGGCAGAGAATGTCATCCTGCCACCGTCTTTACTGTTATTATTTACTTACTGTATTTTTTTTTTAATATTTGAATTTTATTATTTTTTTTTATACAGCAGGTTCTTATTAGTTATCTTTTTTTTTTTTTTTTAAGCGGTACACGGGCCTCTCACTGTTGTGGCCTCTCCCATTGAGGAGCACAGGCTCCGGACGCGCAGGCTCAGCGGCCATGGCTCACGGGCCCGGCCGCTCTGCGGCATGTGGGATCCTCCCGGACCGGGGCACGAACCCGTGTCCCCTGCATCGGCAGGTGGACTCCCAACCACTGCGCCACCAGGGAAGCCCAAGTTATCTATTTTATACATATTAGTGTATACATGTCAATCCCAATCTTCCAATTCATCCCACCACCACCCCCCCACTTACTGTTTTTAAAATTTTGTAACTACGTGCCCTTAAAAAAGAAACTTTATATTACTATTATAAATTAAAAACCAGTACTGGCTAATCATAAAAATAAATATATAAGCAAAAGAAAGTAAATTTTTAAAAAAATGTGACAGGTAAATGTAAATGCACATCTGAAAGCAGAACGGGGATTGTGTGTTGGGAACACCCAGGGGATGCAAGACATGGGCTCCTCCGGAGGGTGGACAGGCACACGTCTGCAGGGTTCAGAACGTGTCTGGAGCCCTCTCGTGAGCTGGAGTCTAGCCTCTCTGATGGGTCCCGCGCAAGGTGCAGGAACTCACTCGCCTCTCCGTCGGGTGTAGGGTGTCAGCCTGACCACAGCGCGGGAATGCGGGCAGCTCGTGTTCCTCGAGGGTCTCAAGTCTGCAGTGGACGTCTTCTTTCGGCCTCAGGAGGAGCCACACCCCCTGCAGTTCCTCAGGTCAGTCAGCCCACGACCCAGCCCAGAGCACGCCTGGCAGGTAGGCCCAGCCCAGGGTTGCTGTGTGATTCCTTCTCCTCAGTGTATGGGAGGGCAGAGCTGGCTTCAGGAGTCAGATACCTCCCTGGTGTCACAGCATTATCAGAAGGTCCTTGGCTCTGACCGTGGGCCAGAGGGTGTGTGGCTGTCCCTGAAGCGATAGAAAGCCTTATTTGCTGGACATGTGGCAGAACAGTGTGCTTTGCTGGTTTTTCCAACCCTGGCTCAGAGCCCTAGCACACACCTCTGTTCTGTTCTTGGCTTGATACGGGGTCAGCAAACTACGGGACATGGGCCAGCTACCTGGTTTGGTAAATAAAGTTTTGTTGGAATAGCCACACTTGTTTGTTCGCGTATTGTCCCTGGCTGTCTGGCACTACAGCATCAGAGGTGAGAGTCGAGACAGGGACCGTATGACCCACAAGCCTAAAGTATTTACTGCTGGCCCTTTAAGAAAAAGTTTGTTGCCTGCAGGTTGGTGTTCCTGCTTCTTGTCTTTCATGAGCATCAGTCCCAGATGTAGCAGATGCCTCACCTGGCTGCTGCGCTTCCTCCACCCCAGGGAGTCTGTACGGGACCTCTCCCCGCTCTGCTCTCCCTCAGACTCAGCCTTCCATAGTGGCCGGGCTCAGTGTGGAGTCAGAAGGCCACGTGTCCTGACTCTGTGTGTGTGGCCTGGGGCACAGCCCTTCGCATCTCTGAACCCGGGTGTCTTTGTCTGAATGCGTGGGCCTGGTTTACACCTGAGCCCAGGTTGTAGGGCACTGTTGTCCCTGCTGTCAGTGGGGCTCAGCCCTGGAGTGTGGGGCAGTGGGGCTAGTGCCTGGGCCCCGGGCCCCGAGCTATTGCTGGGAGACAACTGCTGTAGTCACTGGGGAGATGGAGGTAGCAGGGCCATGTGTGTCAGAAACAGGTTGGACCTGGTACGCACACGAGCACACCGGTAGCCCTTAGACTGCTGCCCTAACCCCCAGGACACCTGCACCGTTGCTTAACTTTCATACCCAATTGTGACCTCCCGGGAAGGCCTCTCCTGCCCAGTCTCAATGAGTCTTTCAGATGCCTTATGCTCTTGGATTGAGAGACTGTATGAGCCTCGGGGGCTGTTTATTTCTGTGTCCGCCAGTTTTTAGCACAGTGCTTTGTACCTAGTAGGCCTCAGGGAATATTTGAACTGAAGTAAATGTACTCACGTGTGCATGCGTGCCTTTTCTTTCCAGCCAGATCGTGAGCCCCTTGGTGCCAAGGACTGGAATCCAGTTCCTTCCCTCCCCCTAACCCTTTCCTGCGGTGCTGCGCAGTCTCATAAACACTTGTAGAGCACGTGAGCTCTCTGGTAACTTTTGCCCTGTGTCCCAGGGAGGCCAACTCTGGGAATCTGCAGCCACTGTATGAGTTTGTACAGGAGGCCCTGAAGCCCATGGACAGTGGGGAGGCCGCCTGGAGGTGCCCGGTGCTGCTGGTGGACGACCTCAGTGTGCTGCTAAGCCTGGGCGTGGGGGCAGTGGCGGTGCTGGACTTCATCCACTACTGCAGAGCCACCGTGTGCCGGGAATGGAAGGTAATCACGAGCCTGCTCCCTGTGCTCCTGCCTGTGACCCGTACGGGCCGACAGGCCCAGGCCTCACTTGCGTGCAGTGATCTTTTCTGTTTAATTACTGGGGCTTTGGCTTTACCCTGGCAGGCCCAGGAACCTTTCAGTCAACGCACCTTGCTCTCCACTACCTGCCATTGATGAAAAATAAGGCCCTGAAAACTAAAAGGGTGCCCGGCACTGTCTTTAACGGGGCTGGTCATTTGCGGTACTGAGGCTGTCCCCGCTCTGCCACGTGCTGTCATATCGCTCTGAGTGTGTTTCGAAGGTTGGCTGAGATAATGGGTGTAAAACTGCTTTAAAAATTGTGAGGTGGAAAAAAAAAAATTGTGAGGTGAAGGGACCTCCCTGGCGGTCCAGTGGTTAGGGATAGGATGTAACCTTCATTGTCAAGTGGTGAGGCAAAAAGAGAAATTCTGCCATACTAGAGATTTTAACAAAATAGGAACAGCTGTGGTGCCCATCTCCCAGGACCCAGACTTCAGGAGTTAAGTGAGGGGAAGCTTGTAGCACAGCAGCTCAGCGTGTGGCCCACAGGGCCAGGCTGGGTGCAGAGCAGTGGGGAGGGGGTAAATGGGTTGGCCAGGGGTGTGTGGATCCAGCAGTGCATGTTGCTCACCTCCTGCCTGTAAGGTCCTGCCTGGAAGCTGGGGTCAGGGGACCTTCTGAGGCCGTCCTGGCTACAGTCACAGGGCCAGGTGCCAGGGTGATGGGGAGAGAAGGGAAGGAGGAGGAAATGTATGGGGCTTGGAGGACACAGTTCACTGGGGCTTGTGGAGAGAGTGAAGCAGTCAGAGTCAGCTGCTGCAGCTCAGCCTGCTCTGTGGCCCACTACCAACCTCTTTTTGTAAAAATACTTCTTTTAGTTGAAAAAGTAAAACTTGGGAATAGTTCAGTAAAGAAAAAAAGAAGATATAAACAGTATAAAGGCTATTTTAGCCAAAAGTAACTGTCTCTTTTCCTCCGTTGTATATCCTTCCAGAGAGTCTATGCAGTCACGAACACATTTGTATGTACACTTGTTTCCCTGCATTTTTCTTCACATTATTGGTAACCTACCATTCGCACGGTTTGGTACTTCTTTTCCTTTACTAACACACAGTACGTTTTGCTCTCCATTGCCCCAAAACAGAACACACAGATCTGCTTTATTCTTTTTAACAATTGGACACTATTCCTCGCTTGTGGATGAATTGAGCTGGAAGTACAGGTTGGATGTGCTGGTGAGACTATCCAGCAGATGATTGCAGTTATGGTCCTGGAGTCCAGGCACGGGTGCTTCCCACAAAGTGGATGCTACAGCTGGGAGGCTGATCTGTGAGAGGGATGCAGGGCAGTGGAGGCTCTGAGAGCCCAGCACACCCTGGTCCTGGCGTCCCTTCCCATCGGTCTCCATCATGGTCTCTGTTGCAGGGAAATGTAGTGGCCCTTGTGCATGACAGTGGAGATGCCGAGGACGAGGAGAATGACATCCTGCTGAATGGCCTTGGTCACCAGAGCCACCTGATACTGCGGGCTGAAGGCCTGGCCACCGGCTTCTGCAAGGACGTGCATGGGCAGGTGCGCAGGGACTGGGGCTCACTGGGAGCTGCTCGCTTCCCGAGTCTAGGCTGCCCGTGAGATAGTGTCCGGCTGTGGGGTGGTCTGGTTGGGTCTTGCCCTCAGGTGGAAGGGAAGCCTCAGAAGTGTGTGAATGCAGGTCAGAGTCCGCCCCAGGTGGTGCTTGGCCCTGTGCACCAAGGCAGGTTTTCCATGGTAGTCCATTTGCAGCCAAAGGGGAGCTCCTGAAGAGAAGATGGCTGTTTACAGGGGAAGGCCGTAAACAGCGGAATTCCTCTGCAGGACCACAGCAGGCTTTGTATATTCAGGCCAACACCGTTCCTTTTAAAATAGAGACTTGGGACTTCCCTGGTGGCGCAGTGGTTAAGAATCTGCCTGCCAATGCAGGGGACATGGGTTTGAGCCCTGGTCCGGGAAGATCCCACAGGCCGCAGAGCAACTAAGCCCGTGTGCCACAACTACTGAGCCTGCGCTCTATAGAGCCCACGAGCCACAACTACTGAGCCCATGTGCCAGAACTACTGAAGCCTGGGCACCTAGAGCCTGTGCTCTGCAATAAGAGAAGCCACCTCAATGAGAAGCCCATGCACCACAACTAGAGTAGCCCTGCTCGCTGCAACTAGAGAAAGCCTGCGTGCAACAATGAAGACCCAACGCAGCCAAAAAAAATTTTTTTTAATAAAAATATAATAAAATAGAGACTTGGGGAGGCCATTCCCCTGGCTGGCGTTGCCGCCCCCACTGCTGCCTCTGCCTGGGATGTTTGGAGTACTTAGGTGGAAGCTGAGTCCTGCCCTGGGAGGGAGGTCAGGTTCTCCCCATGCCCAGGGGCTGCCGTGGTTCTCTGCCTTCTGAAACTTCTCTTTTGGGATCACCCCAAAGCCTTTACCACCTCTTCCAGGTTAACTTCATGTTGACCACTTTTGACCCTTTAAGGGTGGGTGGGCGTTTTGGCCCAGAGTCGTTCAGAGTCGGGTGTCGAAAACAAAGCACAGGCCCAGAGATGCTGTGCTGGTGGTGCGCCCCAGGCATAGCCTGAGGAGAAGCTTCTGCCGGCAGCTTATGGCTCTGAAGCCAGTCAGCCCCCCAGAGCTTTCTAGTCACTAGAGACAAATGTCCAGTCTTCCTGAGCCTCGGAATTGAGTGTACACATTCTGTTGTGTTGATTTTCAAAATTCATCTAGCCAAAAAGTACAAAACCGTGCACACAGAAAAGACCAAAGGGAAATGCACAAAAATATTTTAATGGTTCCTCTCTGGATGGTTTTTTTTCTACATTTTACTTTTCTTTGTCTCTCATGTTTTCTGTAATGAGCAAATATTACTATTGTAATGGAGGGGAAACATTTATTTTTAGGTGTCTGGTAATAAGCTTTGTTTTGGAAGTCGGTCCCATTACTGCATGGTGCATGACCTCAATTGAAGGTCACCGATGAGGCAGGAAGGGTTCACAATGGAGCAGGTATTTGGGGATGCCTTTTCTCTTTCACTCTTCTCTTTGTCACTTAGCTGAGGATCCTGTGGAGGAGACCATCAGAGCCCACAGCCCAGCGAGATCGGAGCCTCACTTACCAGTACAAGATACAGGACAAGAATGTGTCCTTTTTTGCCAAAGGAATGTCTCCTGCTGTTCTGTGACCTGATTTAGGGGCAGCTGAAGCTACCTTGGACTATTTTTAGTTGTGAAAGATAAAGCAACTGAGCAGAAATGGATCTTTACACCTTTGTTGTGGACTGGCAGTTCCACTGTGACCCAGGGATGGTGGAATGGTGCTGTGATGGTTTGCCTTTGTTCCCCTGGGCCCTGTTTAGAAAACACATGAAGAAGCTGCAGCCCTGCCTCAGCTGAGATGCTGCATGTTGAACTGGGTGAAATGGGTCCTCTGGAGCCTTCCTCGTAAACACGCTTTAGCCCCTACTGCCCATTTTTGGTTGTGGTGCCTTTCAGAGCCAGGATGGGTGTGGAGGCAGTCCTGGATGGCAGGTGTCCGAAGTGACAACCAGGATATTCGTGGCCGGCACAAAGTGAGTTCCCACCTCATGGCTTCCTGTGGATTGTCTCATTTAATTTTCACCTTCATCCTGAAAAAGTATTTTCTTCTTCAGTCCAGTCAGGAAATAGGCTTCGAGAGGTTTGGAAGCACGCTCAAAGCTGTAGAGCCTAAAAAAAAAAAAAAAAAGCTGTAGAGCCTGCCGCTAGTAACGGAGGCCTGACTGAAGTCCCCGCTTGCTGACTGACCCTCATGGAAACCAGAGGCAGGCTCCTGCCCAGTTCACAAGTTGGCTCTCCTTGTTTCTGTTGTAGCTGAGCACCTGGCCCATATGCTAAGGAGACCAAGCCATCGCGGGCCCGGCACCCTGGCCTTGGCCACACAAGGCCCCATGTAGGGCACAGGTGTGCATGGCCTTGGTGAGGGGGGGAAGGAATGTTCTTGCTGCCAGGTAGGCTAGGACCTTGGGGAAGAGCCAGTGCCTCCCTCACCTGTGAAGACTGAAGGCGGTGAGCTCTTCCCCAGCATCCTGTAGATGCCACTTGCCACACTCAGCCCTTCAGTCAAGGTCACCTCTGAGTATTCTCTTAGAATGGGTACATTTTATTGTATGTACATTATACCACAAAGACTCTGATTTTAAAAATAAATAAAATGGGAAAATAACACTGCTTTGCAGGGACTAAGGAAGTTTCATATCCATTGTTTAATTTTAACTTTTTTAAAACATTTTTTAGTCTTTGCAAAAGGGAACAATTTATCACCCCGCTCCTCAAGTCATACTAACTATTGTGTTAGTTTTCCCATTGAAACAGTAGCTGCTTTTCTTCTCAAAATACTGCAGACTTGATAGAATATTTTAAAATTGAGTGTAACTTAAAAGAAAGTAGTCACGAAAGAATCCAGTGATTCTTTTATTAATACGTTGGTATTTATACAGCTTCCCATGAGCTGCAGTTCTGAATGGGTAAGGCGCCACAAAACATTTTTTGCATGATATGCTATTATATTTCTTCACTTGATTTATAAATGTTTTCATTAAATTTTTAATGTTTAATGGCTACTTGGCATTTTTTGGTGTCATTATATTCTAATTTGCTGAGGTATTCTCTGGGCATGTCGGGTTCTGATTTTTATAATTATAAATTATGCTGTTATGAATTTTACATCTATACCTGTTTGGGGATGGGGGTAAGTATTTGTTTCTTTAGAACATTCATTCATTCAACAAATACTGAGCACCTTCTGAGGGTATGACAGTGACAAAATAGGTCCCTGCCCTTGAAGAGCTGATGTTCTAGTAGAGGAGACAGAGACAGTCAACAGAATTGAGAATTAAGAGACAAAGAGTTAGACCATGATAAGTGCTCTAAATAAAGCAGGGAGGAGGCCTACAACGGTGAGGAATGATAACATTTTTAGAGCCTACTCCCTGAAGTGGAATTTCTGAATGAAAGCATGGACTGACCCTCCCATATCATCAAGTTGTTCTTCAGGATGATGGCGCCAGTTATCAGTGCTCTATAAGTTTCTTCCACCAACATTGAGTTAATGACTAGGATATGATTTTCTCTGTTTTCCCATATGTATAGAGTCCATTCCTCACCCTTAATTATTTATCAGTTAAAATCTGGTGTCAACCTTATTTTTTATTCTTTGAAATATTCTGTTTTATTTTATTTTTTTTCTTTTTTTTTAATTACTTTTTGGCTGTGTTGGGTCTTCGTTGCTGCACGGAGGCTTTCCCTAGTTGCGACGAGCGGGGGCTACTCTTCGCTGTGGTACGTGGGCTTCTCATTGTGGTGGCTTCTCTTTGTTACGGAGCATGGTCTCTAGGCACGTGGGCTTCAGTAGTTGCGGCACACAGGCTCAGTAGTTGTGGCTCTTGGGCTCTAGAGCGCAGGCTCAGTAGTTATGGCGCACGGGCTTAGTTGCTCCGCGGCATGTGGGATCTTCTCGGACCAGGGCTTGAACCCATGTCCCCTCCATTGGCAGGCGGATTCTTAACCACTGCACCACCAGGGAAGTCCCTACATGTGTCTTTTTGAATTATGGTATTCTCTGGGTATATGCCCAGTAGTGGGATTGCTGGGTCATATGGTAATTCTATTTTTAGTCTTTTAAGGAACCTCCATACTGTTCTCCATAGTGGCTATATCAACTTACATTTCCACCAACAGTGCAAGAGGGTTCCCTTTTCTCCATACTCTCTCCAGCATTTGTTGTTTGTAGATTTTCTGATGATGCCCATTCTAACTGGTGTGAAGTGATACCTCATTATAGTTTTTATTTGCATTTCTCTAATAATTAGTGATGTTGAGCAGCTTTCCATGTGCTTCTTGGCCACCTGTATGTCTTCTTTGGAGAAATGTCTATTTAGGTATTCTGCCCATTTTTGGATTGGATTTTTTTTTTTTAATATTGAGCTGCATAAGCTGTTTATATATTTTGGAGATTAATCCTTTGTCCATTGATTCGTTTGCAATATTTTCTCCCATTCTCAATGTTGTCTTTTCAACTTGTGGTTTCCTTTGCTGTGCAAAAGCTTTTAAGCTTCATTAGGTCCCATTTGCTTACTTTTATCTTTATTTCCATTACTCTAGGACGTGGATCAAAAAAAATCTTGCTGTGATTTATGTCAAAGAGTGTTCTTCCTATGTTTTCCTCTAAGAGTTTTATAGTGTCTGGTCTTACATTTAGGTCTCTAATCCATTTTGAATTTGTTATGGTGTTAGGGAGTGTTCTAATTTCATTCTTTTACATGTAGCTGTTCAGTTTTCCTAGCACCAGTTATTGAAGAGGCTGTTTTTTTCTCCATTGTATATCCTTACCTCCTTTGTCATAGATTAGTTGACCATAGGTGCGTGGGTTTATCTCTGGGCTTTCTATCGTGTTCCATTGACCTATATTTCTGTTTTTGTGTCAGTACCATACTGTCTTGATTACTGTAGCTTTCTAGTATAGTGTGAAGTCAGGGAGTCTGATTCCTCCAGGTCCGTTTTTTTCCATCCAGATTGCTTTGGCTATCTGGGGTCTTTTGTGTCTCCATACAAATTTTAAGATTTTTGTTCTAGTTCTGTAAAAAATGCCACTGGTAATTTGATAGGGATTGCATTGAATCTGCAATTGCTTTGGGTAGTAAAGTCATTTTCACAATATTGATTCTTCCAATCCAAGAACATGGTATATCTCTCCATCAGTTGGTATCATCTTTTTTTTTTTTTTTGGTGCCGGGTACATGGGCCTCTCACTGTTGTGGCCTCTCCCATCGTGGAGCACAGGCTCCGGACGCACAGGCTTAGCGGCCATGGCTCACGGGCCCAGCTGCTCCGCGGCGTGTGGGATCTTCCCGGACCGGGGCACGAACCTGCATCCCCTGCACTGGCAGGCGGACTGTCAACCACTGCGCCACCAGGGAAGCCCAGTTTGTATCATCTTTGATTTCTTTTATCAGTGTCTTATAGTTTTCTGAGTACAGGTCTTTTAACTCCTTAGGTAGGTTTATTCCTAGGTATTTTATTCTTTTTGTGCAATGGTGAATAGGATTGTTTCCTTAATTTCTCTTTCTGATCTTTTGTTGTTAGTGTATAGGGACGCAAGAGATTTCTGTGCATTAATTTTGTATCCTGCAACTTTACCGAATTCATTGATTAGCTCTAGTAGTTTTCTGGTGACATCTTTAGGATTCTGTATGTACAGTATCATGTCATCTGCAAGCAGTGACAGTTTTAGTTCTTCTTTTCAAATTTGTATTCCTTCTATTTCTTTTTCTTCTCTGATTGCCATGGCTAGGACTTCCAAAATTATGTTGAATATTAGTGGCGAGAGTGACATCCTTGTCTTGTTCCTGATCTTAGAGGAAATGCTTTCAGTTTTTCACCATTGAGAATGATGTTTGCTGTGGCTTTGTCGTATATGGCCTTTATTATGTTGAAGAAGGTTCCCTCTATGCCCATTTTCTGGAGAGTTTTTATCATAAATGGGCGTTGAATTTTGTCAAAAGCTTTCTCTGCATCTATTAAGATGATCATGTGGTTTTTATTCTTCAGTTTGTTAATGTGGTGTATCATATTGATTGATTTGCGTATATTGAAGAATCCTTGCATCCCTGGGATAAATCCCACTTGATCATGGTGTATGATCCTTTTAATGTGTTGTTGGATTCTGTTTGCTAGTATTTTGTTGAGGATTTTTGCATCTATATTCATCAGTGATATTGGTCTGTAATTTTCTTTTTTTGTAGTATTTTTCTCTGGTTTTGGTATCAGGGTGATGGTGGCCTCATAGAATGAGTTTGGGAGTGTTCCTTCCTCTGCAATTTTTTGGAAGAATTTGAGAAGGATGAGTGTTAGCTCTTCTCTAAACGTTTGATAGAATTCACCTGTGAAGCCATCTGGTCCTGGACTTTTGTTTGTTGGAAGATTTTTAATCACAGTTTCCATTTCATTATTTGTGATTGTTCTGTTCATATTTTCTATTTCTTCCTGGTTCGGTCTTGGAAGGTTATGCCTTTCTAAGAATTTGTTCATTTCTTCCAGGTTGTCCATTTTATTGGCATAGAGTTGCTTGTAGTAGTCTCTTAGGATGCTTTGTATTTCTGCGGTGTCCGTTGTAACTTCTCCTTTTTCATTTCTAATTTTACTGATTTGAGTCCTCTCCCTCTTTTTCTTGGTGAGTCTGGCTAAAGGTTTATCAATTTTGTTTATCTTCTCAAACAACCAGCTTTTAGTTTTATTGATCTTTGCTATTGTTTTCTTTGTTTCTATTTCATTTATTTCTGCTCTGATCTTTATGATTTCTTTCCTTCTACTAACTTTGGGTTTTGTTTTCTCTTCTTTCTCTAATTCTTTTAGGTATAAGTTTCGGCTGTTTATTTGAGATTTCTCGTTTCTTTTTTTTTTTTTTTTTGCAGTATGCGGGCCTCTCACTGTTGTGGCCTCTCCTGTCGCGGAGCACAGGCTCCAGACGCGCAGGCTCAGCGGCCATGGCTCACGGGCCTAGCCACTCCGCGGCATGTGGGATCTTCCCGGACCGGGGCACTAACCCGTGTCCCCTGCGTTGGCAGGCAGACTCTCAACCACTGCGCCACCAGGGAAGCCCTCTCTTGTTTCTTGATGTAGGCTTGTATTGCTATAAACTTCCCTCTTAGAACTGCTTTTGCTGCATCCCATAAGTTTTGGATCGTCATGTTTTCGTTGTCATTTGTCTCTAGGTATTTTTTGATTTCTTCAGTGATCTCTTGGTTATTTAGTAACGTATTGTTTAGCCTCCATGTGTTTGTGCTTTTTATGTTTTTTTCCCTGTAATTGATTTCTAATCTCATAGCGTTGTGGTTGGAAAAGATGCTTGATATAATTTCAATTTTCTTAAATTTACCAAGGCTTGATTTGTGACCCAAGATGTGATCTATCCTGGAGAATGTTCCGTGTGCACTGGAGAAGAAAGTGTAATCTGTTGTTTTTGGATGGAATGTCCTATAAATATCAATTAAATCTATCTGGTCTATTGTGTCATTTAAAGCTTGTGTTTCCTTATTAATTTTCTGTCTGGATGGTCTGTCCATTGGTGTAGGTGAGGTGTTAAAAGTCCCCCACTATTATCGTGTTACTGTTGATTTCCTCTTTTATAGCTGTTAGCAGTTGCCTTATGTATTGAGGTGTTCCTATGTTTGGTGCATATATATTTATAATTGTTATATCTTCTTCTTGGACTGATCCCTTGATCATTATGTAGTGTGCTCCTTGTCTCTTGTAACATTCTTTATTTTAAAATCTATTTTATCTGATATGAGTATTGCTACTCCAGCTTCCTTTTGATTTCCTTTTGCATGGATATCTTTTTCCATCCCCTCACTTTCAGTCTGTATGTGTCCCTAGGTCTGAAGTGGGTGTCTTGTAGACTGCATATATATGGGTCTTGTTTTTGTATCCATTCAGCGAGCCTGTGTCTTTTGGTTGGAGCATTTAATCCATTCACGTTTAAGGTAATTATTGATATGTATGTTCCTATTACCATTTTCTTAATTGTTATGGGTTTGTTTTTGTAGGTCCTTTTCTTCTCTTTTGTTTCCCACTTAGAGAAGTTCCTTTAGCATTTGTTGTAGAGCTGGTTTGGTGGTGCTGAATTCTCTTAGCTTTTGCTTCTCTGTAAAGCTTTTGATTTCTTCGTTGAATCTGAATGGGATCCTTGCCGGGTAGAGTAATCTTGGTTGTAGGTTCTTCCCTTTCATTATTTTAAATATATCGTGCCACTCCCTCCTGGCTTGTAGAGTTTCTGCTGAGAAATGAGCTGTTAACCTTATGGGAGTTCCCTTGTATATTATTTGTTGTTATTCCCTTGTTGCTTTCAACAATTTTTCTTAGTCTTTAATTTTTGTCAGTTTGATTACTATGTGTCTCGGCGTGTTTCTCCTTGGGTTTTTATGCTGCCTAGGTCTCTCTGCGCTTCCTGGACTTGGATGCCTATTTCTTTCCCATGTTAGGGAAGTTTTCGACTGTAATCTCTTCAAATATTTTATCGGGTCCTTTCTCTCTTCTCCTTCTGGGACCCCTATAATGCGAATGTTGTTGCATTTAATGTTGTCCCAGAGGTCTCTTAGGCTGTCTTCATTTCTTTTCATTCTTTTTTCTTTATTCTGTTCCACAGCAGTGAATTCCACCATTCTGCCTTATAGGTCACTTATCCGTTCCTCTGCCTCAGTTATTCTGCTGTTGATTCCTCTGTTCAGTTATCGTATTGTTCATCTCTGTTTGTTTGGTCTTTAATTCTTCTAGGTCTTTGTTAAACATTTCTTGCATCTTCTCGATGTTTGCCTCTATTCTTTTTCCGAGGTCCTGGATCATCTTCACTATCATTATTCTGAATTCTTTTTCTGGATGGTTGCCTATCTCCACTTCATTTAGTTGTGTTTCTGGGGTTTTATCTTGTTCCTTCATCTGGTACAAAGTCCTCTGCCTTTTCATCTTGTCTGTCTCTCTGTGAATGTGGTTTTCCTTCCACAGGCTGCAGAATTGTAGTTCTTCTTGCTTCTGCTGTCTGCCCTCTGGTGGATGAGGCTATCCTAAACACTCATGTTGATGTTCATAGCAGTATTATTCATAATTGCCAAAAAGTGGAAACAACCCACTGGTCATCTAATGAATGGATAAACAAAATGTGATATATCCATACAATGAAACGCTGTTTGGCATAATTAGAAGTGAAGTACTGATACATGCTATAACATGGGTGAACTTCAAAAACTCTATGCCAGACACACAGATTATGTATTGCACAATTCTGTGGGACTGGGGGTGAGAAAGGGAAACAATGCACTAGGTTTCTTCTGGGGATTATGAGAATGTTCTAAAGGTAGATTATGGTGATAGTTGCACTTTGCTATACTAAAAATCATTGTACAGTTAAAAGAGGTAAATTTTATGGCATTGAAACTATAGCTGCTGAGGTTAGGATCCTGACTCCCTCACTTAGAGCTCTGCTTTAGTAACAAACAGTCCCCAAATCCTAGTGACTTACATTGACAAACATATTCTTCACTCACATTACATGTCCAGGGACTGTGGGTCATTGCTACAGTTCAGCTCCATGGCCTCTTGGTCTGGGACCCAGGTGGAAGGAGCAGTCCCAATTTGGGACTGCTGTTTTCCTGGCCAAGGGAAAGAACAGGAAGCTCATCCACACGAACAATGGCTCTTAAAGCTTCTTCTAGACCTGTGCAGATCACGTTCATTTACACTCCATTGGTCAAAGCAAGACACATGGCCACGGCTGACAATGAAGTCACTCACCCTGCAGGGAGGCACCACAGTCACTTGACAGTGGGCAGGGCTGTGTGTATGATCTGCTTACAGAGAAGGGAACAATGAAGTAATCGACTATAATCACCTTGCTTAAGTGACTTAACCTCTCCAGGCCTCAGTTTCATCATCTACAAAGTGGGGAGATAATAAGCCTGTTTCATGGGTTTAAAGGGTTGTCGGGGTGAAATAAGTGATGACGTTTAAGGTAGCCCTGGCATGTAGTTTAAGCATTAGCTATTGCTGCAAAGCCTTACCTTACAAGGCCCTGCTCATAGAATATCCCCTTGGTGATCCCTGCTCTTTGGTTTCTTGCTAACCAACTCCTTTCCATCCACAGCACTTGGAAATTCAGGGACAGAATTTCAGGGGCTTTGTGGTTGTGCAGATTGACATTTGATGCTGCCTCTCCATGACCTCCAACAAGTTGTTAAAGCTCTAGGCCCTTTACTTTTTGCATCCTTAAAATGAGGTGTATCTTACCTGCCTCTAAAGTCCATCATGAGGATTTTACAAGGTAATATATTGTGAAGCCCACCTCTGGCAAGGAGCCAACAATCAATAGTTTGTCGTTATTCTCGGCAGCTATTATAACCTTAGTAATATTCTTTATCCTATTGCCTGTAAGGTTTTGTTTAAAGGTATGCACTAGGACAGCTTCTCTAGTGCAGAGAACTTATATCCCTGGCCTCTGACACATAGTAGGAACTTGACAGGTAATAAAGGCATTGAATGACGACTAATACAACTTGGAGATTTTGAATATTTTTAATGACTGTATCATGGTTATTAAAATGGCTACTGGTTATCGGAATCTCAGTGTTTTACATGTGTTCATAGCGATGTTTTTTGAAAGCCACAGAGGTCAGTTTTCTTGGTTGCATCTTGGAACCTGACTCCTAAGTGCAGGTTCCCTGAGGTTGAGTTAATTTTCCTGGCTGCAGAGCAGCTGCTGCTGTGTCAGAACCTTAATTCAAACCCAAGGAATCCAGTCCTGAAGCAGCCCTTTCCACTTTATCACATTGCCAGCTGCTATCACTAATGCTTAATTCAGGGTGAGCATGAGTGTTAGTGCAAGTGATTGCAAGGACAGAGCCCTATCATTGTGAAACACCCTTCTCTGTGTCCATGACAGGCTGAGGTGGCTGGGCAGTGGGCTGGAACCCAGAGTCCTGTGGTGGCCTGCTTGGTCAGTTATCAGAGTGACCTTGGGCAAATCTCTTCACCTCTCAAGGAAGTTTTCTTCATCTGTGAAATAGACCCAGCCCCTATTTTTCAAGGTTGTCCTGAGGTTTGGCCCAGCATGGAATCCCAAGAACTGGGAATTGTTATCACTTCTGGATGATCTCTAAGCTCCACTGAGTTTTTTTTAAAATTTGAATTTACCGTGGGGAGCAATCTGAAGTAAGGTTGAGCTTTGGCTAGTTAGAGCAAAATGGAGCTTGTAGACAAAAAAATATTGCCGACCTCTTCAGTAAACAACACACGTTGCCCACCATCAAGGCATCAGCCACTGCAGCTGCCTGCCTCCCAACAACTGTGCACCCCGAGGGGCATTCAGGAGGGATGCCCCTCATAGTTAAGATGCGTATCAAAGGAATGATTTCAATGAGCCCAGACTCTTGCGTCTTCCCATACTTGAGATATCTGTGTTTGTGATTAGCAGTAGTTCTTTGGATATTTGATTACTTTCCACCACCACCCCCCACCGCCGCCAGCAAAAACTGCTATATATCCTGGCTCCTCCCTTACCTCTTTGAAACAGTTCCTCAGAGCTATCTGAGAGGCTGTTTCCAGGCTATAGTCCTCAATAATGTCCTCAAGTAATACACCATTTTCAACTTTTAGGTTTTGTGTTGTTTTTCAGTCAACTTTTAGGTTGTGTGTTGAGTTATAAAAACTAAAATCAGGTATCTGCAACTTAACCTGGATATGCATAACAAATAAGATGGATTGATAGGTGGATAAAGGTTTTTTGGTTTTTTTTCTTTTTAAGAAAAACGTGATACTAAGCAAAACATTAATAGTTGTAGAATCTAGAATATATAGTTGTTAACTGTATGGTTCTTTCAGCTTTTCCTACGTTTTCATAATAAATTGTTGGAAAAGCCCTAAAATCATGGCCTCTTCATTCAGCTCGCGGGGGACATTCAGTAGTGGATTCACCTTGGGACCATGAGCCTTAGGTTCCTCAGAGGGTCCCCAGTGGTTCTCGTGTAGCGGGGGACTCTTGACAGTGCTGCAAGGCCCAGAGGCACTTAACTAAGTGCTTGTCAGGTTTGGAGGCTCTTGTTTTTGGGGGAAGGTATCCAGAGTTTGTTGAGCATCATTCCCCCGTAAACACGGGTGAAACGGTTGGGTGGGGAGGGGACGGGGAGTAGGGAGGGTGACAGGACTACCCAAAAGACAGATTAGCTAAGTCCCTGTGGTAGGGGTTGTGAAAAGACAGGTCTCCAGCAATCTCTGGAGAGAAGACTTTGGTCCAGTGGGCCTGGGGTGGTGCTCACGGTGACTCCGACTTCACTTTAAACATTCCCCCAAGTGACTCTGCTGTGAGGCAAGCTTGGAACTGCATTCTTTGTAGGAACTTGACAGTAAAGGGAAGAAACTGGGACTTTGTCTGCACGGTGACATTCACTCAGAAAACTAAAAAAATTGGGTAGAATTTATATTTGCCAAAAGGAACGAGGCAGTGGAGAGAGAAGGAAAAACTGGTGACAGAGATCTGAGGTTCTTTTTGCCCAAGTTTTCTGAGGGGCCGGATGATGGCACTGCAAGGGATCAGACGTGGAGTGATGTGAGATAACGGGTGTAGGTAAGGCTCCCCACACTGCTCTCTGTTGTTGCCTCTCTAATTTAAAAATAACAAAAAGAGTTCTTCCTTTATAAACATTCTCATCTAAAGCCAAAAGCCAACTCTGAATACAGGGCAAAATTTTAAAGGTCACTCTGGGCCAAGGTCAATTGTCCCCACTTGTATGGTCAGGCTACTCAAGATGGCTGCTCTCTTGCTCTCTGTACATTCCCCTGCCCAACCAGTGCCTGCTTCACCTATATCTTATGCACCTGACTGACCTTCCTACGCTCCTGCCCCCACCCCAGCTGGTGATTATTCTTATCAAAGGGTCAGTGAGGGGCGTGCCCTTCTGCTGGTTTCCCTGGTACCTAATGAGCCCACCTGACATCAATTCCTCTATAACTGGTAACCTCTCCTTCCACTTGGGAGTGAAGACTGCCGCCATGTCCTCTCCGCCGTCCACCGCACACAGTCGGGTGTCGCTCCAGGACCTTGCTTCAGACGTGTAAGCTCCCCCATCCATTACACCACTTACGTCTCTGTTGCTGACTCTGGGCTTTCTTCCGTCTTGAAGCTGGGCAAGCACAGGGCTTGTAGGCCTGTGGGGTACAGCCCAACACCATTATTGTTTAATTTTACCATGATAGTACTGTGGTGGGCAAGGAGGAAGGCAAGACTTTGGAGAATTTGGAACAGGGTTGATGGGAAGGGGCTGTGAAGAAGGCCTGTGAGGGGTGAGGTGGCTGGAGCTGCCTGAAGGGCCACCTCTGATTTTAGCCTTGCATTGTGGTTATATCTGCCCTTTTTGCAACCCTAGCGCTGCCACTCTCAAGGGCAGGAACAGGATCTATCTGCCACATCCAGATAGCACCAGGGTGGGTGCGGGTAAGCTGACGGGAGCATGCCCAGGGCAGCAGGGTGGGGTGAGGCTGCCCCCTGACACTTGAGACCTGTGTTCACGAGTACGTGGGGTGGTGTGATCAAGGTACCCATGGGCTGGCCCACAGGCAATCACCACGGGCAGCGTCCCAGGATGGGCCAGAGCTGGGCCCGCTGGGACCTGCACCCTCATCTTGGGCAAAGCCTCCCCTTCTCTTGTGAGACCAGGTAACGAGACCTATCTTGGGGTTTTCAGGAAGGTCAGATGAGGACATGTGCAAAGTGCTCAGCTCAGCATGTTGTCCAACCCAAGTTCATGTGCTGGGCACACAGTGAGGCCAAACAAATGGAAACGTAGGCGTCTGGAGCAGAGAAAGGTTTATTCCAAGGGCCACGCGAGAATGGGCAGCTCGTGCTCGAAAGACCTGAACTCCCTGATGGTTTTCAGGGAAGAGTTTGTATAGGCAAAATTTGGGGTGAGGGCTGCAGGGTGGTGTTCCAGGAATCTTGTGCTCAACCTGAAGTTATTATCCTCCACCTGGGTTGGGGCCTTAGTTCCAGAAGAAGAACTCAAAGTGATATATTGTTATGTAAATTCCTCGAGGAGGAACTGGGATGGTTTTCACTTGTTTCTGCATTCCCTCACTTCCTTGATTAGTAACTGTTTGAATCTGCCCTTTGGAACTCAGGGAAGGTCAAGGAAGCTGAAGCCTTTTTCCTACAAACAAGAAACGGGGACACGGAAAGGCTTTGCTACCTGGGAGTGTTACGTGAAAACTGGGCTCACCTCTTGGTGGGTATCAAGCCAATAGATACAACCAAGCCAGAGATTGGGAGAAGGAATGATTATTACTCGGAGCCAGTAAGGAGAACACCAGGGATCTTTCCCAAAGCAGCGTCTCCCTGAACAGCAAAATTGGGGAAGTTTTAAGCTAAGGGTACATGCATATTCAAGAAGGGGCTTTAAGCAGAAGAGAATTCAACATAGAATTGGGGCAAAGGTCGACAGAGTCCAAGCTTTAGTTGATTGAAGTCAGGAGGGTCAACAGCATCATTCTGTCCTCCACCTGGATGGGGGCCTTGGTTCTTGCAGAACTCAAAGATACACTTTGTGTGTATCCCTTGAGGAGGAACTAGAACTCTGCTGTAACACTGCACTATTGTTTGACTGCCTTTTCTCTGTTCCTGCATCCCTTTCATCCCTTAGATCATTAATTACTGAGACCTGTTCAAGGGCAAGCATTGTGGCCAGGCTTACATCACAAAATATCATGAAAGCCATTCCTGGTTCTCTTTCTCCGGGGACCCCCTAACTTATCTGCTTATAGGAGGGCCCCACAGGGTCCTGCTCGGTTTCAATGCCCCCTGTTCTCTGCTACTCCTCAGTCTTGAGGAAAACATGTATTGGACCAGAAAGGGAGTAACATTTTGGGTAGAGAGGATAATCATAAACCCGGCAGAGGAACTCGGTTTTAGGAGGACTTGGTTTCAAGCACCTGGTGAAGAGTGAACACTCGACGGACATAGCTATTGTTATTACAACAAATATGTGTTCCATGTAGAAGATGGTTATATGCCCATGAGCAAATGGAAAAATCCTAACACCCTAATCCTCCACCCAGAGATATCCACCGACCACACATCAGCATCGCCCCAGACCTTTCTTGGATTGTTTTTAACAAAAATGAGCTCATACCCTACAGCTCATTTTGAACATTTTTTCAAGAACATCTTTCCACATTAGTTAAGTATTCATAAAACTTACCCTTTTAAAAGGCCTTAAGGAAATCCAGTTTATGGACATAATTTATTCGACCCATCTGCATTTGTTGTATATCTCGGCCGCTTTTAATTTTTCGCTGTTATGAAACAGGGAACATGGGCAGCCTGTGCGTGTTCTTGCTAATTCTGCGGAACGTGTTGTTAAAAGCTCTGGTGCTCTACTCAAGGTTCTGTCCCAGCTTCGCGGTCCGCCTCGCCCGGCCCCGCCCCACCCCAGACCTCTCCCCAGGTGTCGTGTGACCGGTGTCCACCAGGGGGCGAGCGGGAGCCGCGGTTGGGCGCTTGATCACGCATGCGCACGCCACAGGGAACACAGGCGAAGGACGGCGGGGGCGGGAGCGGGAGGGGAAAGGTAGGAGGTGAGAGGTGAAGGGGCGGAGAGCTGCGCGGGCGCCTGGCGGCCGGGAGAGAGAGGGCGGGCGCCACGCCCGGACCGCGCGGGCCGGGAGCGCGCACGCCGCGCCCCGCCCCCGTCCCCGCCGCCGCCGCCGCCGTCGCCGCCCGGGAGCTGTTGCCGCCACAGGTACCGCTGCGCGCGTCCCCACAGCGTCCGCCCGCTGGCCCGGCTCGGGCCTCCCGCTGCGCGGCCCGGGGAGTTCCGGGATGGGGGCCGCCGGGGGCACTGGCGCGCCGGCGTGGGCGCTGTCCAGCAGCCGTGCGGGCCGGGCTGAGAGGCTGCAGCCAGAGAGGGGGCCGGGTTGCCGCGTCCCCAATCCCACCTTGGCCGCGCCCCCGTCCGGGCCAACCGCGCGCCCGCAGCCCTCCCCCTGGCCCCGGGGACCACTGGCCTGAGAGTGGGTCGCGCTGTTGCGCCCACTGGCCCTGCCGTCCCCTGGGAAGCTGCCGGTTCTAGAACCTGCTTTGGGGCTGTCTGGGTTTTCCGGAGTGCGGAGGAGAGCACGCTGTCCGCACCTGCCTCTTTTGCAAGATCTGATTGAGAGGCAACACGTAGCTTCTTTGCTGGGTTTTGCTTGGTTTCTAGTTTTCTCTTTCGCTCAGACCTAAACATTGCTCACTGATGTTGCCTCTGTTTATTCTGGGTGGTTTATTACCTCCGTTCATCATGCAGGATCCTAACGTCAGAATAGCATTAGCTGCAGGGAGCCAGGGATCCAGACTGTTTGAGCCATAGGTAGTTATACAGGTGGAAATGCTCGTGGCCTAGGGGAGCAGTGAGTCCCCTCCTGGCAGGAGTTTGCCCTGTTTCGTGTCACTTTCTGCCCCACCTTCTGTGGTGACAGAGCTGGGTGACTAAACTCCTTCTGGGGATTTTGTAATAATTTTTGTGAAGAGGGCATAGTAAAGGTTTCTTTAATGATACTAGCTTTGAGTGTGTTTCTGACCAAACGTTTGTGAAGTTTGGTTATGCAGTGTCCTTATTGCTGTGCTGCCATCTCAGGGTATTGTGCTAAAGACTGAAGCTTTTATAAGGGAGTCAGGGTCAAGGGTGTCTGAGAGTATTTCAGGTGTTCCTCTGATTGATGACCTATATCTTTTTAATGTATGTTGATAGAATTTAGGTTTTAGGTGTTTGACACATTTGCAGCATTCCCCGGGGCACACGATGTAAAAAACACAAAATATGTATAAATATATCTCCACACTCATTCTTTTGGTGATTTATTGAAATTGAAAGAATTACTTGTCATTTATTATGAACGCGTCTGGTGTTTGAGAGCTCTCTTTTCTTTTGCTATTGTGGCAAAAACAGCACCTCTCCAGAGGTCTCCATGTGCTTTATAATCACTGGTTTAGGTCCCCCTCTCCCATCATCTAGATTAGTTTACTGTCAGGAGGCGGGTATAAAAAGTCTACTACTCCTAGTTTATGCATAGAAAATGGAGGCCTAAAGATTGTGAATTGCTTGAGGTCATATATGAACAAGTAAACTGTCCAGTTGGGAAATGAACCATACCTGTGGGATTCAGTACACATGCATTTATTAACATTTGGTGGTAGACTTTAGGGGATGCTTACTGTCTTAGTGTATACATGAATGTGTCCTAAGGACCCTGGAATGACACTTAGATTTATGTGTTATTTGCTTACCCTCACCTTTGGTGGCCACCAGTGTTAGTTTTACTGGCTCTGATAGGTACTTCATGCACAGTTTGTGTCATCGCTCCCATTAAACAGATGAGAAGACTCCCCCTCATAGAGAAACTGGGTTGCTAGTGTCACCCAGCTTGGCATTGGGGATCAGGCCTTCAAACCAGGTCTGCCGAACTGCACCACCTACCTACTTCCACTGTAATTTGCTCCTTTCCTGAGTTGGCCACTGAAGCAAAGTCCAGGTGACTTCTTTTGCCGCCTGAAATAATAATTCTGGGTAAAATATTTATCCAGCGCTTGGGCTGTCTAGATTTTGTGCTAGGTGCTCTTATAACAGCTTACCTCACTTAATCTTCATAATCAGGGGCGATGACGCTGTTATCACCCCCTTAACTGATTAGTTTTTGAGATGTTATCTGACTGGCTCTGGGTCACCTAGTGAGTTAGAAGCTGAGGCCAGGTGGAAACCCAGGTTTGTCTGAAAACAGAGTCCATGCTTTTATGCTGTTCTTGGACCTGCTGGCCTCACAGTCTTCTCCACTGCCTACCAAGTGAAAAGTAGCAGAGGAGGGTGTTAGGGGTGAAGGAAGGAACCCAGTATCACAGACTTGAGTCAGAGATGGTGGAACTCTGCAGGAAAGAGACATTCATTTGATCACTGTGTTTGACAGCTTCCTCTTGAGTGGTCAGGGGCACTGCCTGAGAATGTTTGCAGAGTTGCTGGGCCATACAGCTTTGCAGTAGAGTCCAAAGAGGGGTGTGTGTGTGTGTGTGTAAGCACCAAGGGTGCACGTTGGTCTCAGGAAAAAAAATTAAAACGAATCTTTGTATTTATTTCAGCCTTATTTAATTTTTATTTTGTATTTTATAATGTATACTCTGTATTATCACAGTAGTACATATATATAATTTACGTATACGTATATTGGGGATATGTACTTGAATTTTTGTTGTTGGGGATTCATAATCAAAAATGTTAAGAAACCACTGGTTTATTTGATATTTAGCATTTTCTGAATTCATAAAATATGTGAAGTGTTATTTGTCCCATTTGTTCCTAAGTTGGAAGTCTAGTGAAGTTCAGTGTAATTCCACATAATCATAGAAAGGGTATTTCATATTAATAACCAATTATAAATTATTTTAGAAATCGCAGTCCGAGTGTGAAAGAGGATCTGGTATTTCAATAGTCTTTATGTCTCAAATATAGTACCACTCTTAAGTGTGACACTATAGTGACTGATAAAGCCCTTCAGAAGTTAAAATTTGGGGGAATTCTCTGGCGTTCCAGTGGTTAGGACTCTGCACTTTCACTGCTGAGGGCCTCGGTTCAATCCCTGGTCAGGAAACTAAGGTCCCACAAGCCATGCAGTCTGGCCAAAAAAGAGAAGACGGGCTTCCCTGGCGGCGCAGTGGTTGAGAGTCTGCCTGCGGATGCAGGGGATGCGGGTTCGTGCCCCGGTCCGGGAGGATCCCACATGCCGCAGAGCGGCTGGGCCCGTGAGCCATGGCCGCTGAGCCTGCGCGTCCGGAGCCTGTGCTCCGCGACGGGAGAGGCCACGACAGTGAGAGGCCCGTGTACCAAAAAAAAAAAAAAAAAAAAAAAAAAGAAGAAGTTGTTAAAATTTTGTTGTTGAACCTTTTCTATTTTAAACATGTTAATTCAGTCTGAAGCCAGAGAGACCAAACTATTCAGTTGACGCAAATATGGCAGTTGTAATAGTCGTATTTGCACTATTTCCCAACCTTAGAGTATTTTCAAATCATCTAAATATTGAAATTCCAAATACATTGATTCCTTATCCCTTTTTACAAACTGGATTCTTCAGTTCATTCCACTGCAATGGTTAGTACATTATTTCAAAATGAGCAGTTCCAGAATTATACCTAATTAAAAAATATCTTTGTCATCTTCCAGCTTATTTCACAATTGAATAGATTAGTGTTTGTTCAGGAGTTTAGGTTAAAATAACAGAATGGGTTTTGAGCAAGAAATATATTTTCCTAATTATATAAGCTGTTTTTATCCAGATGAGTTATCATTACTTCGTAACTAGGTTCTCAAACATTAGTGTGAATTAAAATTACCTGGAGGGATTGTTTTAACCCCACCTCCAGAATCCGTAGGTGAGAGTTTGAATTTGAATTTGAAACAAGTTACCAGGTGCTGCTACTGTTTGGCCTAGGGAACCACACTTTGAGAGCCATGGCTCTAAAACCAGAGCACAATGTCAGTGCTTTCATGTTTCACTCTGAATCTCATCAGCATCAGTCTTTTTTTTTAAAAAAATTATTTATTTATTTGGCCGCTTCGGGTCTTAGTTGCAGCACGCGGGATCTTCATTGTGGCATACAGGTTCTTTTTAGTTGCGGCATGCGGAATCTTTTCTTTTCAGTTGTGGCATGCAGGATATTTAGTTACAGCATGTGGGATCTAGTTCCCTGACCAGGGATCGAACTCGGGCCCCCTGCATTGGGAGTGCAGAATCTTAGCTACTGGACCACCAGGGAAGTCCCCAGCATCAGTTAGTCTTATAGTATAGTTTTGCCAAGTACGGTTGGTTCCTGAATTAATGATGATTCAACTTACAGTTTTTCCACGATGTGACGGTGCCAGAGCAATCATACATTCGGTAGAAACCATACTTCAAATTTTGAATTTTGATCTTTTCTGGGGTAGTGATACGCAGTACATGCTCTTTCTCGTGATGCTGGACAGCAGCATCGAGCCGCAGCTCCCAGTCAGATCTGCAATCATGGGTAAACAACTGATACACTTACAGCCATTCTGTACTCAAATCATTCTGTTTTTCATTTTCAGTACGTTATTCAATAAGTTACATGAGATATTCAACACTTTATTATAAAATGGGCTTTGTGTTAGATGCTTTTGTCCAACTGTAGACTAACGTAAGTAATCTGAGCACATCTAAGGTAGGCTAGGCTAAGCTATGATGTTCAGCAGCCTAGGTGTATTAAATACATTTTTGACTTACAATATTTTCAACTTAGGATGGGTTTATTAGTATGTAACTCCATTGTAAATTGAGGAAGATCTGTACATAACTGGTTCTTGTTTTTAGTCAATTTCCTTTTTATTTTTAGATGATGTCAT